CGTAGGACTGGTATTTCAGGCGTACAAGCTTTGACTGTGTCGGCTGTACGTGCTGGCTGAGAGTTCGTTCCCCAGTTGGACGGCTCGTTCCCTAGACACATGGTGAATTGAGGAATGGCTCTGCCATGTGGACTAGTCAAATAGTCCCCCGGTTGGATTGTTTCCCCGGTACAAATAAATATTGGTTACACTCATGTACTCTTAGTATTAATAGTATTATTATTATTATTTTGTTACCTTATATATGTAGTATGTATATAGTTACATGTATGTATGAATGTTCTTTGGTTCTATTTCTCGGTAAGGATACTTTCTCACTGGTCGTACCTTTGAGAATGTTTATGAGAGTCTAACCTCTCAGAACTCTTAAATTGAGTGGTGGGCTTCGTGAAGTATTATCCACGGATTACAGATTTGAGATCCGGTATACATGTGTTAGTATGTATGCATGTACTGTTTATGTTGTTTTGTTATGCTTATGGTTTCCTTGCATGTTTTAATAAAGGTGGGGGTTACACTATTTTGTTTTCACTTGAACTGAACTTGATTTTTGTCCACTCACAACTTTCTGTTTTGCGCCCCCAGCCAGTAGCGACTGAGCTTTGCAGTTGAGCCGGACCGAGTGCATCTTGGAATTCGAGTCTTCGTAGAGACTCTTGGTACCTTTTCCTTTCAGTTAGACGATATTTCGGTTGTATTTTGAATTCTGTAGATATGCTCTGTATCGCCCACTGAGGGTTTAAATTTTGTGAGGCCTGGAGGCCTTGTTTGTAAATTAGTTTGCTGCTTGTAAAGCATGCTGCTAGTTGGTTGTTTTTAACTGTAAATTTTGAACATGTTGAAATTGGGAAATGTTTAATTTACAGGGGAGACTCTGCCAAATTTTTGGTAGAAAGTCTCAGTCTTTAGTAAATGGGCCCAGCATCGGGATGATGTCGGTAATTAGGCGGGGTCCGTCCCAGGTTCCGAGGAATTTCTGGACGGGTCCTGTCATCTAAATCGCTTTCAAAGCAAATAGAAGTCTTGACCACAGTCCACAGTATCACATAGAGATTCAAAATAATCTTTAAAGTCGAAATAGCCATCTAGGACTACACATAGTAAATATCACAAAATGGTCAAAAACGACAAAAAACACATGCTCTCTAAAGAATATGGAAATTTTAGACTACTTTCCTCTATCACTAACTGGCTAAGTGCATATGATTGAAGTGACTATAATTGCATACCTTATAACACATGCACATTGCAGTGGCATTTTAGGAGATCATTCCCCCACGCAATTTGGAACTTCATGAATCTTTGCCCCAAATTTGAAGCACTTGCGTTCATTTGTTGAAAATGTTTTAAAAGAATGACCGACTTCGAGTTCATTGAGATCCCTTTCACTGTAAGAACAAGGTTTTTTGAGATTGAGGCAATGACTCTTCACCACTTAGCATTAGAACTATAACTGGCATGCTCGGCCTATCTCTCGGGTTACGCTGCACACAGAAAAGACCTACATGCACGAAATAATCTCACAACTTCATGTGGATCACCTGAGTCCCCTATTGATGCATCAAGCACTTCAATGGACCTGCCTTCTGTGTATAGCATCCATGCCTAAAAAGAATTTATCAAAAGTTCAAAATCATTGTGCTTACTTGAAAGAAGGAAAAAAAGAAAAAGAAAAATGCAATGAGTAAATCCTATATGTTTCTCTTCCCACTCACTATCTCTACCACCAACCCACCAAAACTATAGACATCAGATTTTATCAAGTAGAACCCGTCAATTGTTTATTCTGAGGACATGTAACCACTACAAACCAGTCAATAAGAACTAAGCTCATAAGCAAATCAAGTATACTATATATGTATGTATTGGTTCTTTTTTGATATATACTTTGTAACATCTCACATCGACCAACAAAGAGGGAGTGATGTGCCTTATATGTACATGCCCGCCTCCATCTACCACGAGGTCTTTTGGGAGCTCATTGGCTTCGAAGTCATGGGAACTCCAAAGTTAAGCGAGTTGGGGCTAGAGCAATCCCAAGATGGGTGATCCACTAAGAAGTTGCTAGTGAGTTCCCAGAAACAAAACCATAAGGGTAGATAGGGGGGCCCAAAACGGACAATATCATGCTACGGCGGAGCCGATCCCGGGATATGACAATTTGGTATCAAAGTCATTCTGCAATGTGGTGCGAGAGTGCCGATGAGGACGTCAGGCCCCTAAGGGGGTGGATTGAAATATCCCACATCAACCAACGGAGAGGGGGTAATGTGTCTTATATGTACATGCCCACCTCCATCTAACACGATGCCTTTTGGAAGCCAGTGATCCCGGATGGGTGACCCACTGGGAAGTTACTCATGAGTTTCCATAAACAAAATCGTGAGGGCAGAGAGGGGGGCCCAAAGCGGATAATATCGTGTTACGGCAGAGCTGATCCCGAGATGTGACATACTTACTATGTTGTAACCACTTTCTTGGTTTTTAAGAGCACAAAATAATTCATAAAAATTAATTACTATTTGATAAGTAATTTATGAAACAAATAATAACTAAAAGCTAATTAGTAATTATATTGATTAAATAAGACTAAGATTCAATTAAAAATATTAATTAATTAGCTATTCCAAAAAAAAAAAAAAATCCCTATGAAAATTAAAGTCCGAAAAATATTAAAACATAATAATTACTATTTATTAAGTAATATAATTTATGAATTTAATTAAAATATTTAATATTAATTGTTCACTAAAGAAATAATAATTAAAACATAATTACTAATAAAAGTAATTAAAATAAAGCAAAGATATTGTTTAATTACAAAAAAGAAAATAAAAAACCTAAAGAAACTAATTTTATATTCCACAGAGCCGCCCAGGCCACCTAGCGCCTAGGCGCCGCCTAGCCCGATTTGTCAAAAATTTCCTTGTGATTCTTTACGTTATCGTCTTGATCTTGCCTCTTCTGTTGCTTGCGTCAATTCTGGTCAAGCATGGAATTGAAAATTATCATTGATGTTGTCTGCTAAAGAACAAATAGCATGCGATATCACCTGTTAAACCCTTTTGCTCAGAATTTCGTACTGGAAATCAAAGTCCACTTCGGGTAAGTCCTCAAAATCCTCAAAATAATCTTGTTCTGGTATATTTCTTTATTGTTTTTACAAGGAAAACTGTGTCTTATTCAAAACAGAGAAAGAAAACCTGCATGAAAGATGGGCTAGAAAGAAACAGAGAAAGGAAAACTATTTCTTTGTTCTTTTCGTCTTCAAATATATCTTGTAGAAAACCATCAAAATCAGACCAACAATCATGACATGACATATGAAATCAGATTACATTCAGCCAAAAACTCTGTCCAATCAACATGAGTTACACCAAAGTAGTCTTTGAAATGCTTTAACAAACACGCCCCAAGAGAAGCTGCATCATATATTATTTTTGTTAGTTTTGATACGTTAATATAATAATACTATCATATTGTGTTGTAACTCGCAAGTTTGTGGGAGTCTTTTTTGTTGTGTGTGTGTACGTGTGCCGGGGGCGGGGAGGGGGAGGGGAATGAAATGAAAGAAGGCCAATCATTATGCATCCAAGGGAGAATTTTAGCCCAATCCCAAAAATGGATTTCTCCAACCCTTAAATTAGATCTACAAATGAATTTTGCACTCAATGTGTTTCATATTTTTGTCATTTTGGGATTTGACATGCTTTGTTTCACATGTTGATGGTTTTACGTTTCTCTGTTCTATTTTATTATATGGTAGGATGCAACATATTGAACTTATGCACATGTGGTATGCTCTGGATTTAGTTGTTCTTGCGGTTGAAGTGATGAAGGACTATGACTGGTGAAGTTTCATGTTTTCCTTTGAAATGTAAATGCTCTCAATTTGTTTGTGATATATATCATCAGTTTTATTAGTTTGCTGCATCTTTTTTCCTATTAATTCTTCATTGTAATTATTTTATAATGCTTCTGCAATGATGCAGATCATGATGGTGAATGTCATAAGTTCGCTTTTAAATATGGACGATCTTTCTCTCAATTAGGCTCATTGTGCCTCACCTTGGAGCTATTCTGAATCACATTACACATGTGCTTCGGAGCAAACTCATCTAACACGTAAAAAGGGAAACAAATTAGTTGTATCTTTCACGGAGAACTACTTGATATATTACATCGCTGTCTTCCTTCAACTATAAGTTTATAACTGAACTAGATCATGCTCTAAGTGATGGCGTAAGTAGGGGTGGGAGACAAGCATTGGAGTGGAGAGCGTCAATTGCTAAACATTTCATTGACGAGTGGGAGCGGCAGTTGTCAATTTTGCAGCGTCTTCTTTCGTTATCTGAATGCCAGTGGCAGTGGAAAGAGGCATTGACTATATTACGTCCCGCACCATCTAAGCTACTTAACCTGTGAGTTACAGGCCTTTTCTTCTTTGGGAATTTATATAATGATCAATTGGTTCTTGTGCATGAATTACTTTTTGGATATTTGTTATAGATCACTGGTTGTTTATCCTATAAGAGAATGGTAGTTTATGATGATTATAAACTATAATGATCACCCAGGCCAAACAAAATATGATGACCACATTATTCCAAATGATAGAAATAGATGCTGATATTTGAAGATGATAGTACATAATTAGTTAATATGAAATTGCTGACATCTTACTTTTTGAAGGTAAATATTGTAGGTGTTCTTGTTTATGAGAAATATAAGTTTCTATGTAGTTTTATGCATAAATTATCTGGTTTTGGAGAGCATGTTTTTCTGGAATTGCCCCTTTTTTTAGAGGGAAGGGAGGGTGTGTTTTATTGGCTGCAATTCCAGGAACCAAAATATGGTCCCAAACTGCAAAATTGTCTGCATCCCCACACCGACATTTTCCCTGGGGACATTAATGTTGTAACCTGCTCCTGATCCTTCTCCAAGCATTGTATAGAAACCATCATCAATAGCTGGATAAAAGGCTTCCGAACTCATGCCCGAAAGAAGCACAGCTCCATAATGTCATCATAACTAAGAACTTCGATCTTATGTGAGACGAGTCAACCAAGAAAGTTACAAGTTAAAAGCTGATCCAATGAGAAAAACTTTTGATAGAACGCAAAGAACTTAGAAATTGTTATGTCACAAATTCATTGAAAGCGTAAAAAGCCTCTTGATAGGAACTTCAAAGTCAAGAAAACAACCAAGGAATGTCATGCAGCACATATTAACAACACTACATGAAGAAATATAACTTAAACTTTGTGTATGTTACACATAAGCTTAAATGATCAAGCAAAGGAAACGAGTATGAGTTCAAAATTGTGGCATGCCTACGAAACGAGAATCAGTTCCTAGGGGCTAGGCGAGTCCTCTTTTTCTTGAAAAATAAATAGTATAGCCGAGCGGCTAGACATTTAAAGATAAATATTTCTCCGAAATTTTTTATAATAAAAAAAAGTGAACAGTTGGAACTCTAAAAAAGTTATCATGCACTCATACTCTAAAAAGTCATCGAGCTCAACCCGACCACCTGGACCCAAGCTCAGCTCGGTCATTTGTACTTTAGCCTAGCTCGACCAAGAGGTATTTTACCTCACAAATAGAAATCCACCAAGTCCCCAGACAAGAGTTTTGTGTGGGGGAGTTGCATCTTTTGGACAACTCCATCTTGGGACCTTGGTTCCCTTTATCCCCATTTACGTTTGTGAATTTGGTATGCTAGCGCTTGCCAAAACTTGTATATGTTGCTTGTGTTTGTTATACCAAATACCAATTGGATCATGTTTGTAAAAAAAAATGGGCGCATCAATGTGCACCTAAACTGAGGCAATCCAATATAATTGTATGCAATTCCATGTGCTTGCCAATCTGAAACTTGACCCGTGCATATGCAATGCCTTCGGGTTTCAAAAATAGAAATCCATGAGATTCTGAAGGTGAATATGAATCTGCCAATACTTCATCAACCAACTCCAAATCCCTGCCTTCATTCCATGAGTGCCATGCTTGACAAAATTTCATGCATGTTGGCCAGAATTATTAAACTCTGCTGCATTTAGCTTCATATAGGTTGCTTAAGCTGTATGAAAGATATGATTTTGCATTAAGATTTAGAGAGTGAGCTTACATAAGCTAGGAAGCCTACATGTTGGTCACTGGAATAGAAGCTGATATTCTTTTTGCCACAAACAATCTCCAATTGCAAGACTCCGAAGCTATAGCCATCAGAATTTTCATAAAACATCCTGCCCTTGGCATACTCCGGAGACATATAGCCACTGCACAATCAATTGAGAACTGAAGAAATTGCTTCTTTGTTTATAGTCTTGAGAAAAATTATACCAAAAAAGTTAAATCTAAACGCCATGCAATGGAACTAATTTTTTGTTCATTATGAACACAAATAGAAGGAAATTAGAGTCAATTAAAATTGCAGGGTTGTAAATTGAGGTGCTGTTACACTTGATTTACCAACATGTTAATCCCAATGTTCGAAAAATCACTATGCAGTAAGGGCAGCAGGCAAGGACTTAGCGCCTAGAGGAGTAATCGGAGCCTATGCGAGTGCCTATGCTTTTTTTAATAAATTATTTAGTATTATAAATTATAAATTTATACAAAAATCCTGAAAAATAAAAGGATATATAAAGTATATATTAAACAAATAGTATAATATTTTTTTGATTTAAAATATTAAAATATTAATTTGTTATTTGTTACTTATTAGTGGTTACTTTAGTGATTTCATAATGCAAAAACCATTTAATGTTGTATTTTATGAAGCCCAGGCCCTTCTCTCTCGCCCAGGCCCTTTTCTAAACCCCAAACATAACTCGCAACCTCTCTTCTTCTTCAATCCTCGTTTGTTCTCTCTCTCTCACCTCATAGCACCATAGTCATCTCGTCCCGAGACCTTGGAGTTCCAAAATGACCTTTTTTTTCTTCTAGGCGCCAGCGGCCGCCTAGCCACCGCCTAGCCCCCTCCTAGCCCGCCTAGTCCGCCTAGTCCGCCTAGCTCCCGCCTAGCCCCTGCCTGGGCCATTTATTTAACTCCATTCAATGCTTTTTATGAAATAGCCTTTCAGGTGACCTTAATTGCTCAAGGGGACGTTCCTCTGTCTATTGTAATGACGGTATGCACAACTCTTGGGGCAGTAGCCCTGACTCTTCTACTAACAAAGATATTGGCAGGGACTTACGTCCCTGTGGATGCTGCCAAACTGTCAATTAGCACCATGCAGGTTAAGTTAAATATAATAAACTTCAGTAATATTATATTATCCATCAGATGGGGCTTATGGTCTCTATTCTGTCATCTCTATAGGTCGTTGTTGCTCCAATTTTGTTAGGTTCTTATATGCAGAGTGCATTTCCTGCAGTGGTTAAAATTGTGATACCTTTGGCACCACTTTTTGTTGTTCTATCTGCATCACTGCTTCCATGCAGGTACATTTGTTGTGCATATAAATATCTTTTTAATTACTTATATGTAAAATATGACTGTCTTGCCTATGGTTCCTTCCAAATGTGCTCTCTTTCTCAAACATACTAGATTTTATTTTGTGGGCCAGTGTATTCTCTGAGAATCTTGTCCGTCTCAAAGCTTCAATGGTTGCTGTAACATCGCCAGCTGATCTGTCTCTAATGGCTCATGCTTATACAGTGTTGCCTTTAACTATCGGTGACTTTAATTGTGAAGTGTGTTGTTGTGGAAAAAGCTCAAGGTAATGTATACATTTTTTTTTTCAGTATGTAAAGATTCTTTAAAAAATTACGTTGTAGCCTTGTATTAGTGTATTATTGCTGTTTTGATTTAGCTTCTGTCAAGTTTGATATATAAATTATAGAGTGAAGTTAACTATACTTTGAAAAAACAAAGTATTCATAATTGGTAAGCAACAGTTGATATATTTAAACTAGCAATAAATTTAAACTAAAGTGGCCGATTAATATCTACTTTGGATATATTTAAACTAGCAAATTAATATCTATAAAGTACAAACTAATGCAACTTCGAGGGTCCTTTTTCTTTTACTTATTTACTAAATAGTGTAGACCTTTTAAATATAGTGTATTTAAATAGTATCGCCGTGCGGCTGTACTATGTTTTCCTTTTTAAAAAATAGTATAGCCAGGCGGCTATACTGTTTTGCACACGTAATCGCTGGACGGTCCTTTTTATTAAAAAACCAAAAAGCGTACAGCCGCACGGCTATACTCTGCGTTTTTTTAACGTATGCTTGTGTTGACACGTGGCACCTAAACGTTCGGGTCATCCTTTTTATATTTAAAAATAGTATAGCCGAACGGCTATACTCAGTTTTTAATTTTTTTTTCTTATTTTTATGAAAAGGTAGGCTACACCCTTTGAAAATAAAAATAAATTTTTATGTAGTTACTAAAAATAAAATTTAAAAAAATTAATTAACCTAAACATTCTAAGTTTATATTTATTTTTAAACAATAAGACCTCTTCCGACGAAATTTCGTCGGCACAAGTATTTTCATCGGGGAAAACCTAATCCGGCAAATTTTGCCGGCATAGATCTATGCCGACGAAATTTCGTCAGGAGAAGTGTTCATGTATTTTATTTTTTTATTTTTTAAATTTCAAAATTAGTTTCTTTACTTTTTCTTTTGGCCTACTTCCTTAATTTAATATATGTAATTAAGTAATATCTTATCCTTTTTGAATTACTTTAATAGTCGTATTGCACATGTTCGTACGTATTTCTAATGCTTAATACACATACTTTTTACAAAATTTTCATTAAGACACACAAAGTTCACATATTATACACATAATTCTCACATATTATTGAATAAGAAAAATATACGTTATAAAAATTATATTAAAATATTGTATAGTGGCCGATTAATATTTACTTTGAATATATTTAAACTAGAAAATTAATATCTATAAAGTACAAACTAACGCAACTTGGAGGGTCCTTTTTCTTTTATTTATTTATTAAATAGTGTAGCCCTTTGAAATATAGTGTATTTAAATAGTATAGCCGTGCGGCTGTACTATGTTTTTCTTTTTGAAAAATGGCTGGCGATACATTTTTTGGACACGTGGCTTGCAATCCCTGGAGGGCCTTTTTTTAGAAAACCAAAAACAGTACAGCCGCTCGGCTATACTCTGTTTTTTTTTCAAAGTAGGCTTGTATTGACACGTGGTGCCTAAACGTTGTGGTCCTTCTTTTTAATATGTAAAAACAGTATAGCCGCTCGGCTATACTCTGTTTTTAATATTTTTTTTCTTATTTTTATGAAAAGGTAGGCTACACCCTTTGAGTCGCATAATGTGTACTTCAATTTTTTAATTACAAAACCTAATTTGGCAAATTTTGCCGGCATAGATCTATGCGGATGAAATTTCATCGAGAGAAGTGTTCATGTATTTTATTTTTTTTATTTTTTAAAATTTTAAATTAGTTTCTTTACTTTTTCTTTTGGCCAACTTCCTTAATTTAATATATGTAATTAAGTAAGATCTTATCCTATTGGAATTACTTTAATAGTTGTATTGCACATGTTCGTA